GGGAGAGAATTGAACAACAGCAGAGGAGGTAGAGAGGGAAGATGGGAGGGGAGGGGAGGGGAGGGGGGATAGTAGGGGATAGGAATGGTAGCAGAATACAACAGTCACAAATATACCATTATGATGTAAAAATGTGAGTGTGTAACAGATGTGATTCTGCAATCTGTATTTGGGGTAAAAATGGGAGTTCAAAACCCAATTGAGTCTAATGTATGAAAGATGATATATCATGAGCTCTGTAATGTTTTGAACAATTAATAAAAAAAATGGAAAGAGAAGAATATATTTGAAATGGCATTATGAAACTTGGTTAAATATTGTGGATAAAATTCATATATAAGCCATGGTAAAGTTAGGAACAATTAACTTGCATTGACCTTAGGATAAAATGAATAGGATTTTATTATATGCATTATTTTTTAGTCACCTCTTCACTTTGTAGGTTGGGAAGGGATTCTCTCCCCACAACACTGACACTGGGCACATGAGATGAACAGCAGTTTCTTAGTCACATGTCCTCCTGCCCTGGGGAGAAATACACTATACACCATACAAAATTATGGGAGGAGTTGTGGCTCAGTGCTAAAGTGCTCACCTAGCATGGATGAGGCACTGGATTCGATCCTCAGTACCACATAAAAATGAATAAATAAAATAAAGGTATGGTGTCCAAATACAACTAAAAAATATTAAAAAAAAAAAAAAACTCATGGGAGTTGTTCACAACAGAATGAAGAAGAACCAAGAGCTGTGGGAGTCAATCTTTGTGATAATGAGTACTTTTTGGTTCCTGAATTGGATGTAATTGCTTACTTTAATAATTCCTTAGACTGCCAGGGCAGTGAAACCCACTACATGGGATGAGTAGGACAGTGCCTGGGTGCCATGATAATGAGAGTTGTTTGGCTTCACGATCTTATTAATAGGAGCAGAGTGGGGAGGGAAATTTGTAGTGAGGCCATTGAAAGTTTTTCTAGTTTTACCAGATATTGGGTCAGCACATAATATTGGTCTTAATTGTAGACCTTATACCACATGTATATAGTTTGCATTCAATAAAAGTTAACATTTTTAGTAAATATTACAAAAATAGTTGTATATTTGGCATTTAAAAGTCAGGTTTATCTGGGCATGGTGGCATACACCTGTAGTCCCAGGTACTTAGGAGGCTGAGGCAGGAAGATCAGGAGTATCACAAGTTCAAAGCCAGCCTAGGCAATCTAGCAATACCCTAGTCAAAAAGAGCTGGGTGAGGGCTAGGGATATAGCTCAGTGATAGAGCACTTGGCTAGATTCATTTCCTAGTATTATAGAAACAAATAAAAAGGGCTGGGTATGTAGCTCCATGATAAAGCTCCTGTGTATTCAATTCCCAGTACAGCAGGTAAAAAAAAAATAAGGTCAGGTTCATGTTAGTAAAGTCCAAATTTGGATTTGTAAGGCTGTTGTTACTTGGAGATAAGGACTATAAAATAGAACTGAATTATTTCTGGATATCATCTTTGCAGATAACAAAGTTCCATTTTATTGATTCTGGAATATTCAGACCATATGTTTGATTTGTTCTGTTTAGACCTTCAAAAATGTGACTTGTGAGCCACAGAACTTTAAAAACTATAGTGAGAAACACAACTGTGAAGTAGTCACTTCTCAGTAGAACTTGTATAATAATAATTTAAAAAAAGAGCATTGCTTCATGAAGGTGATGGTTAAAGGAGACTGATGATTTATACATCAGATGATTTTTTGGTTGTTGGTGTTTGGAGCTGAACCAAGGGCCTCTCACATGCTAAACAAGCTTTCTACCACTGAGCTACACTCCCAGCCCCTACATCAGATAATCTTCAGGGATGTTAATTAAAGTTAGGTGACCCATGCTTATTAGACGGATGTGCCTGCCAAGAGGGTTGATGTGTTTGGGTGGCTAGATTTTTTAACTATGATTTCCCCAGACATTATGACCATTATCTTTTCACTTTCACTTGTATCTAGAACTATTACTTCCTGGCTGACTTTGATAATTTTTTTTTTTTTTTTTACAGTTTTCAAATTTGTAGGCTCTAAAGCATTGTTTACATTTTAGGATGCTTATCTAAATGATGCAGTGGTTTTCTTTGTATTAGTGGCCACTTCAAAATAGGCAGCTTTACTTTTTAGGGCCAATTATAAATCATTTCATTCATCTATATTTACCTAGAAAACATATTAAGACCTATTTTGAAACAGAGACACACAGGCTTAAAAGGTGAGTAATGTGCAGGAGCCCAAGAACTTACAGTCTGCCAAGGGAGACTAGCTCATGAACACAGGAGTTAAACTGTGTAAGCACACACTTTATTATTTTTTGTAATGACCTTATATTGCATAGAAATGATTGTCCCTAATCATTTGTTCTCAAGTTTTCCCCTACATCCTCTGTCCTTATATTTCTATCTCAGTAACTAATTGTTACTGTCAGCAGGGATCTCCTAACTAGCATTAAGGTTAAGTGGTAGCTTGAGATGACCATGTGACACATAAAGAGGGTGATGCCTTAGATTGTTCAACTTCTTTCTTTTCTTCTACACATCTGTTAAGGTTTGACTCATCTAAGGTTACAGACCCATCTAGAGGCAGGATGGAGTCTTCAAATTCCCTGCTTATGATTTTGTCCTAGATTGATCTTGCCTTAAAAGCAGCATAAGGAGGACTAGGGATATTTGTCCAAATCCCTTGTGAGAAAGTTTAATTTTGAAAGGACTTCAAATAGCCATAAGCTATATATTATGTGATTGATACTTAGAAAACTCAGCACCTGTCTGATTGGAGTTTCTTCTTTCCATATTTCAGTATTATCTTGTCCTAGATTGTGGGGCAGCCTTGTTTTGGCAACTTGTTAGTGGTTTCTGTCTTGGAGTCCCTATAGCTCTTAAGCACTGAAGGATGTGTTTAGACTTATATGTGGAAGTGTTTAGACATATACAAAAGTAGAAAGAATAATAAAGTGAATCCCCAGCTTTAACTGTGATCTCTGTTTTCTTTTGCAGGGCTTGGGATTGAACCCAGGTCCTCTCACATACTAGGGAAGTGCTCTGCTGATGAGCTACATCCCCATCCCCCTGTGATCCCTGTGTTCTGAGACAAGTTTTTGTTTTTCAAAAAGCATGATGTAAATTTTTATACTTACTGCAGAAACCTGTTTGTGTATAAATTAGCCATTTCAGTAGCATAAAGGAATGAGAACTTGTTCAGGCTCACAGGTCACCTGGGATATTCTGTTCAGTGAGTTTCCCTCAATTGTGATTAGTGGTCTCCCTGGGGAATGTTGATGTGATAATGGCAGTGTACAAATGAGCAAGCAGAAGTATGAGGGACCACTTTAAGTCTGTACTCAAAACTGGCACTCTCAGCCAGGCATGGTGGCACACACCTGTAATCCCAGCAGCTCAGGAGGCTGAGACAGGAGAATCGTGAGTTCAAAGCCAGCCTCAGCAATGGCGAGGTGTTAAGCAACTCTAAATAAAATGTCTCTGCATAAAATACAAAATAGGGCTGGAGATGTGGCTCAGTGGTCAAATGCCCCTGAGTTCAATTCCTGGTACTAAAAAAAAAAACCCAAAAACCAAAAAACTGGCATTCTGCCATTGAAACTTGCCTTGCAATGATGAGGCTTGGTAAAGTCTCAGGTCAGTGGGATGAGGAAAAATATACTCATTGATGTGTACAAGAATCAGTGAACTTCAACTGGCAAATCAAAACAGTGGTATGACAATGATATCTTAGAGTGATATCAACTCAGTTTGGTAGTATTTGTTATTAATTTAGTATTCCTTACTTAATTGCCTCTTGTCTGTTTCCCTATTGAAGACTAAAAGCTATTTAAAAGCTATCTTTGGATATGTGTGTGTGTGGTTCTGGGGATCAAAGTCAGGGACTCACACATAGTAGGCAAGCACTTTCACTAAGCAACATTCCCTGCCACAAGAAGATATCACTATTTTATCCACAGTGCTTAGCATAACATTTAGCACATACAGTGTAAATCTAATGAACACTGTTTAAGTGAACAGAGAAAGTAATTGAGGGATAAGTGGGTTTGGAAATTGAGTTGTTTTGATTAAAGGCCAGAATGTCATAACTTGAAGGATGGAAAATTATGGCTTGTTAGTAAGGATCCTGACTGAACTGCAGATTGGTTTTGGGACTCAGTAGTTAAATTGTGGGATTAAAAAATCCCAAAATATGCTAGAAAGATAGACTTGCAGTTATAACCAGTCACAAACCTTGTTGCTAAGTGGTGTGTTTTCTTTGCTTTGGACACTTTAATTTAGTCAGCAGAATTCATAAGTTGGCTCATGTGGAAAAAATTGTGTAGCCTGTACTTCCCATCAGATCTTGTAGATTGAGCTTCTGGTAACATGGTCATGTTCTCTAAAATTCAGTACTACCAAACCTTGTATACAAGTATACATTTTTATTGGAATTGTCATTCTCTGCTAACAAATAATGTGAACTTGGTCTTCTCAGCATATCCTCAGATAGGTTAAATAAATAAATTATCATGTTTATATCTACATATATTACTAAGAAGAAAATATATACATGGGAAAAATTGGAATTTCTCCATATAAATTATTCAATAAGGACACATTTGTGAAATTGATAAATATACCAATAAGCTAGATTTGTGTATGGTTATGTCTGAGTTTTATTCTGTAGAATTTTTTTTTTTTCTCATTAGGAGAGTTTTGTTGCTGTGGGTTAGCTATGATGAGAAACATTTTCTTATAAAAATATAGAATGAGAGTTTATAAAGTCAATTAAAACTTGGTTTTATGTCACAATCCAATTTTTGGCCATAGTTGGAAGAAGCAATTATTAGATTGGTATTAAATTAAATTTTTTTAATCTATAACAGTAATAAAACTAACTTCCTTTTTGAGAAGAGAAATTAAGTAAATTTAAATCGTGAACTGTCATGATCATTCTGTGGACATCTCATTTCATTTTGTATTGTTTAGATGTGAAGACTGCATCCCCCTGCCTTCAGTGCCAGCAGTTTCTCTGTTCTGTAATCAATGTGATTCACAGGAGCTTCTTAAGTGACAAACGAAATGAGCCCAGGGCGTGGAAAATATGATTTCTATATTGGTTTGGGATTGGCTATGACCTCCAGCATTTTCATAGGAGGGAGTTTCATTTTGAAAAAAAAAGGCCTTCTGCGACTTGCCAGAAAAGGATCCATGAGAGCAGGTATGTTGCACCATATATGATTTGAAATGACTTTAGTGTACTTACATACTCAGGTTTTTTCACTGTGGAAGAACACATATTCTTTCATGAATAGAGTCAAACCTTTCAACTGTTTAAGACTTCTGAATGATTATAGACAATTTAATATCAATTTTGTAATAAGAAAACAGAAAGATGTCAAATCAATTAACTTCCCACATTTTCTGATGTTAGCAAAGGGAAGAGGGACCAATGCCAAATTAGCACCCAGACTTTTATTAAATTTTTGAATACAGAGCAGGAAATAGGATTCATGAATAGACCCAGAGTCTTAGTGAAAGCTGAGGTAGCCCGTCATTCTATCTCTACTTCTAGACCTCTTTGGACCTCATGAGTAGACATGCTTTGGCAGTAAAAATTATTACTTTCTCTCTTTCCTATGCCATCTTGGGCAAAGTAAAAAATAGTAACATCTACTGTTTGTTTCCCAGTCCCTCATCCTTGATCCTAAGGCACACACTTTCATTATCCATAAAGAATATGTTTATAAAGGATTCATTCACCTTGGCTTAAGTATGGATTGTGTTCTGACATTGTTAGTTTGGTGAAGAATAAAGCCAAGGATAAAGCAGTAAGTGCATCTGGGCAACCCCATACTATGATCAGTTCTTAGTCTTTATAGGAAGGACTAGAGTCTCCTGCTAAGTGGAGCTGCAGATAATTTATTTAAAGTACTTATAGTCGAGAAATGAGATATTTTGTTTTGTGGTGCTGGGGATTATTCCATGGTCTTACACATGCATGACAAATACTGAGCTACACCCTCACCCCATTTTTTTTTCATTGAATGCTTTTGCTTTTATATTATGTCTTTATTGGTATATTATAATTATGTGTAATAGTGGGATTCATCATGCCATATTCATATATACGTATAACGTAATTTTATCGATCTTATTATCTTTCTCTTTTCCTTCCACCTCCTTCCCCCTGACCCTTTGCTCTACTCTACTGATCTCCATTCAATTATTAGTAAAATATTTTATTTAATGTGTTATAACAAGTCTGTTTATTATTATAGTTGTCATAGTTTATTTAAGAGTGTGATCATTGGGGCTGGGATGGTGGTGCAGTGGTAGAGTGCTCGCCTAGCATGTGTGAGGCACTGGGTTCGATTCTCAGCACCGTGTATAAATAACTAAAATAAAGGTCCATTGACAACTTAAAAAAAAATTTTAAAAAGAGTGTGATCATCTTCCAAAGAAGTAAAATATTTCTTCATTCACAGGTCAAGGTGGCCATGCATATCTTAAAGAATGGTTGTGGTGGGCTGGACTACTGTCAAGTATGTATAGAGAACATTTCAAGAAAATGTTATAACTATGTGTTAAAATATTTGCACATACTATTACAGTGTTTTTACTAACAAATTTAAAAATTTAAATCTTGTTTTAATGAATAAAATTCAAAATATATAAGTCTGTAAAAGTTATTCAGCAGGTAATAGTTTATTTAATTTGAATATTAAGACCTTTTTTACTCATCTGATTAGAACATTTTGATACCCCTGTACATTTTTTTTTTAAATTCTGCTAAATTTAAGAAGTTAATTTTGCAGCGGGGGGTATAGTTTAGACATAGAGCACTTGCCTAGTCTTCTCAAGGCCGTGGGTTAGATTCCCCAGCACTGGAAAAAAAGAAGGTAATTTTAAAAGTGAAAATTCATAGGAAAATCTAATTTTCAGTTCTGCCTTCATTGGTTCTTATTCCAAATTAAAAAGGAGGCATTTTTATTTGATAAGACTGTCCGTGCTTATTTGTTGACTATCTTTAAAAAGGTTTGTAGAGAAAAATTGTTCTTAACACCGAGTCTTGATTATATAACAATTAGTAATTGATTGTCTCCTGTATGTCAGACATTTTTTTAGGTGCTGGAGATATAACAGCACCAGAAGATATAACACCATCCTGTCCTTACCCTTTCTTTTCTTTCTTTCTTTTTTTTTTTTTGTACTGGGGATTGAACTCGGTGGCATTCAACCACTAAGCCACATCCCCCGCCCTATTTTGTATTTTATTTAGAGACAGGGTCTCACTCACTGAGTTGCCTAGCACCTCGCTTTTGCTGAGGTAGCTTTGAACTCATAATCCTTCTGCCTTAGCCTTGAGAATTGCTGGGATTACAGGCATATAAAGTAATTAAAACATTAAAAATAAAATAAAATAAAATAAAATGACACATACCGGTCATTTTAACATTTTTTTTGTGAGACTCAGGCAGAATTGCTCAGCCTAGGCAACATATTATTTAATTTATTTGTTATTTATTTAAATTTTTTAGTTGTAGATAGACACAACAACTTAATTTTGATCATTAGTTTTTTTATGTGGAGCTTAGGATTGAACCCAGTGCCTCACACATGCAAGGCAAGCACTCTGCCACTGAGCCACAACCCCAGCCCCCATCTCTTTAATTAAGTAAGTTAAATTTAATTAAAGGGAGGAACACAGGAGATTGAGAATTTAGCAAAGAAACAGAAACCTGACCCACAGACTCTCCAGATACGGGAATTATCTTGACTATAAAACAACTTTGTTTACTACACTGGCATATAGTGATATTACAGATTGGCAAAAGAACTGAAAAGAAATTTTAGAATTAAAAAATGCAATAAAGAAAATTGAATTGCTTAATAAGGTATGGTTAGGTATGGATGAAGAGAGACTTAGTGAACTGGTGGTAGTTTGGAAAAAATTAAAATGTAGCAAGCAGAGACCAAAAAATGGAAAATATAAATCCAAGGATTATGGAACTTATAGGATTCAGTGACTAATTGAATAAGGATCAAAGAGAATGGAGAAGAGGCAATGTTTGAACAGAAAAGTGAGACTTTTCCAAAACTGACCAAATTTATTAAACTTCAGATAAAAGAAGCACAACAAGACCTACACAGAATTTGTGAAAAGAAAATTTACTACCTAAACACTTGCTGGTAAAAGTAATGAAAACCAAAGGCACAGCATTTTAAAAGCTGTCAGGAAAAAAATATCATTGTACCCTCAAAGGAATAATAAATTGAAAGCAGAATTTTAACAACATTGAAAATAGAAAGCAGTTGGAAATAGAGCTTCAGAATTCTGACAAAATACTGGTAGTGTAATTCCCTATTCAGTGAAAATATACTTCAAGAATAAAACTCAACAGACATATTTTGGACAAACCAAAACTGATCATTTGAAAGGATATACAGTTAGCAGATGGAAGTTCACAGATATAGAAAGAGTGAGGAATGTGTGAGTATATCTGCCTGAATGTTGATGAATAAAAATAATAAAGCTAAATATTAATATTAAACTTGACAGGTTTATGATACCTGTTGTATCATATGGTATTCAGTTAAATAAGTGTATGACTTTCACAAGTGTAGGAAGACATAGAATTAGAAAGAAAGGCATTTGTAAACTGTTGCTATTTGCAGATTACATGCTTATGGGTATAAAACTTTCAAAGAATATATAAGTAATTTTTAAGATTTGTAAGGTTGAATATTTCACTGTATGTTAGCAGTCATTAGAAAATGAAATGTTAAAATAGTAATATCAGCATATAATTTAAAAAATAGTTACTTGTAAACCTCAGATGGGAAAGACCCCCATTGAGAAAACCAAAACATTACTGAGAAAAAGAAGTTCCAAATAGGAGATACCATCCTCGTGATTCATCATGTAAAATTTTCATATTTCTTCATACTGCCATATTTCTTCAACTGCACAGGTTGAATATTATCCCATTGAAAACCATAGGTTGATTTTGATATATGAAAAGTTGATGTTTATATAGAAATTTGAAAGTCCCAAATGGGCAAAGACATTCTGTAACAATGTTTCTTTCTTTGTTGGTTAAGACTTGTTGTAGAGTTATACTAATCAAGTTAGTATAGTATTGCATCAAGGTAGATGTATAGACTAATAGAATAAAATACAGAACCCTGAAACAGACCCTCAGTCAGTATATGACAARGGTGTCCTTAATGTAGAGAAATGCATTCCTATAACAATCCACATGGAAAAGAAGATACTCAATTCCTGTTGCATTCTGCATACACTTAACTTTAGGTGGTCTATAGGCCTAAATGTGAAAGGTATGATGTTGAACTTAGATCAATATTTTTTAACTAGTTGTATGAATTACTGATTACAAAGGAAAAATATTTTAAGATTTGACATTGAAATTAGAACTTTTGACCATATTAACCAGGTATGATGGTATACATATAATCCTAGTACTCCAGAGGCTAAGGCTAGAGGATTACAAGTTTGAGGCCAGCTTGGACAATTTAGAAAAACCCTGTTAAAAATAAGATAAATAAAAAGGACTGGGGATGTAGCTCAGTGGTAGAACATTTGTCTAGTAAATGTATGGGGCCCTGGGTTTTGCAAATAAAAAGAAGAAGGAATATCCCCAATACTGCAAATAAAACAGAAAACTTAATTTGATCAAAAGAGTTTACTATGAGAATGAAAAGCAGATGGAAAGTTTGAAAAAAGTAATTGGAATGTGTTTAACAAGCAAGATTTATGCCCAAAACATATAAATAAATAATAAGAGAAAGAAAATAATCTAGTAGACAAATAAGTGACAAATCTGAACACTACTTCACGAAAAGATGTCACATGGCCAATAAATAGATGAGAATGGGAAATGCAGATTGGAAGCATAATAGAATAATTCTGTATCCCAAATGGATTAGCAAATTTTTAAAGTCTGACAATACCAAGTATAGGGAAGAGTGTGGCATTATTAGGTAAAAATTGGTATAACCATTTCAGAAAACAGTTATGAGGGATCCTTATGAAGTCATACCCTTCCTCTGCTTAGGATTCCCCAGTGTCTTTTCCACTTACATATCATAGAATCTGCAGTGGGACTCAGCAAGGTCCTATCTTTTTTGCCTCTATTGGAGCCACCCTGGCTTCTTTGGTGTTCAGACRTGCCAGTCAGGTTTTAGTACTTTACATTATCTCTCCCTGAAATGTTTTACCCCCAGATAAAGCCCTCACTTCATTTTAGAATGTTCAAGATTCCTTTTCAGAGAGTCGCCTCCCAATACCATGATATAAATTAGGACTAGCTTCTTCTACTCTTTACCCTTGCTTTGTTTTCTCCATAGCACTTTAAAATACTTGGGCAGAGGGTGAGGTCGCAGTTCATGTGTGTACTGGGTCTTGAACCCAGGAGTGCCCTACCACTAAGCTACATCCTCAGCCCTTTTTATTTTTATTTTGAGAATAGGGTCTTGCTGTGCTGCCACTGGCCTGAAACTCCTGATCCTTCTCCCTCAGCCTCAGTAGCTGGGATTACAGGCATGAGCTACAGATCAGGCTCTTACTTTTAACTCTTTGACACATGTATTTTGTGTGTCTTCCCTAAGTAAATTTGGAAGTGTTTCGAGAGTAGTGTCATTGTTTTTCTCCCTACTGTATTTCCTGTCCTAGAACAGGACCTGGCATACTGTAGGAGATATGTTTTTAAATGGAGAAGCCAGTGAGAAAGACTCAGAAGTACCTTCATATCAGTGTTAGTTCTTTTCATTGATTTGTGGTTTTGTCCTAGGATATAAATGTTTAAATTATTATATTAATATACCTTTATAATAAACTAGCTTTTTCTTTTTCTTTTTAAAATTTTTTTAGTTGTTGGATAGACCTTTATTTTATCTATTTATTTTTATGTGGTGCTGAGGATCAAACCCAGTGCCTCACACATGCTAGGCAAGCGCTCTACCACTGAGCCACAACCCCAGCCCACTAGCTTTTTCAATTAAAATTATAGATTTGTGTTCTTTCTAATTCACTTGGGCACTAGATATTTACAACTTAGAGAATCATAATCTTTATAAACAAAGGGGACGAAATATGGAAGTTATTGAATACGGTTGAAAAAATATAGATTTTGCATAAAGTGAAAGCATTTCCAAATTGAATACATACATTCCTTCCTGAAAGTTTTTTATTTTTTTAAAATTGTCTCTCTCCTAGTGGGGGCAGGCGAGGTGGCCAACTTCGCTGCATATGCCTTTGCACCAGCCACGCTAGTGACTCCACTGGGAGCTCTCAGCGTCCTTGTAAGGTAAGGACACAACCTTTCACATATGCCAACAATAGTCAGTATTTTGGTCTGTATTCAGTGCTGTCTAATTACATGTATTCAGCATAACTTAAATTTCAATAGACTAGAGAATTATTTTTGTACTGTGTAGTAATTTGCTCTTCAAAAGTTATCCTCTACATAGGCAAGTTGTTAATTTATTGGGGAAAGATGATTTTGTGCTTTGTTTTGTATTCAGAGCCAATACTAGTTCTTTGATTTCAATTTTTGAAAATTTGCATTTGTCCCAACATTTAAGTGTATGTATACTTTGGTAGATCATGGTTGCTGATGAATAGATTTCTACATCTAGTACAGAAAGCCAGGGTGAGGTTCCATGCCTTTGAAGACTGGCCTGAGGTGCTTGTTTTGCCGGACCAGTCTAAGGCTTGTTCTGTTTCTGTTTTAATGATTATTCCAAACAACTAAGCTCATTTTGAGGTCTGAGTTTTGGTTAGGATTTGGAAAGTTGACTGACTATAGTTAGGTATTATTTTTCGTCTTTGTTTTTAAGAAACTGTATGTAAAATAGAGTTATGATATAAGCCTTTACCCTTAATTTCCTTACATTACACCGTTATTTTATTTATTGATTTATACTATATTTTCTTTTTAGGTATGGATAAACCTGTGGTGTTAAAACATAATTTATAAACAAATTTTGCTTTTAACAAATCCCTTGTTTCTTTTGCTTGTAACTCCACATTTCTAAATAACAGGATAATTAGTAGGCAGATTATATGAAGTTAAATGAACACATAAGTGGAACGCATGAATTTTTAGGGATAAATTAAAGTTGAGCAATTTTTAATGGTTTGGATAGAGAGTCTTAATTAGAACTTAAGTTGTACAAACTATAGCTCTTTTATTGTGCATTTCATATGGACTTTTTCCTGTAGAAAGATGATAAATACCATCTTAGTGTATGGTGTATATACAATCTTATGGTATATATACAATCATATACTTTTTTTTTTTTTTTTTTTACTTTGGCTAAAGACCAGATACTTCATAAGCTCTCAGTGTTCTAGTGTGGGTTCAGTAATTTTAAATTATAAGTTTGTTGATATTTAAAAATGAGAAAAATAGCTGATATTTGAAAGTTCTCAGCATTCCTTTCTCCCCATTTTAGTGCCATTCTTTCTTCATACTTTCTAAATGAAAGACTTAATCTTCATGGGAAAATCGGATGTTTGCTAAGCATTCTAGGATCTACAGTTATGGTCATCCATGCTCCAAAGGAAGAGGAGATTGAGACGTTAAGTGAAATGTCACACAAGTTAGGTGATCCAGGTAAGAATAAAAGAAAAGCCTTTATACTTACTTTACTTTTGTAAAGTAAAATAAAAATATCCCCACTAACTACTAGAGAATATTTTAACTGCTGAGCTCCATCGCCAGCCCTTTTATATTTTATTTTGAAACAGGGGTTTTGTTTTTGTTTGTTTTGGTTTTTAGTACCAGGGATTGAACCAGGGGTGCTTAACCACTGAGCCACATCCCCAGCTCTTGTGTGTGTGTGTGTGTGTGTGTGTGTGTGTGTGTGTGTTACAACAAAGCAGTTTGTGATCATGTTTGAGACTCTATATGTCCTTCACAAATTCAATTTTATATAATCTGATACTTTCTTAAAACTTAAACTTTGAACTTCTAGACTTTTATTTCCTTAGAACAGAAGGGCTGGTATAAATTATTTTCCAGAAATGAGGTACCATTTCACAGAACTGGTTTCTCTTTTTTTGCAAGATTTTTGTTTGTTTGTTTGATGGTGCTGGGGATTGAACCCAGGGCCTTATGCATGTGAGGCAAGCACTCTACCAACTGAGCTATATCTCTAGCCCCTGTTTCCAAGTTTTAAAGAACTAAATTTGTATTTGTTAAAATCAAAAAAAGTAGGAAGGATGATCTTTACAAATAATTTTGATTAAATATGTGTTCAAAGAAAGCAGGATAAAAAGTCTTTCTCTTTAATATTCTGTATTATACTATATTGATGTTCAATAGGAATGAGCTTCTGTCATTTGCTTTGAATGAGTAGTGGGGAATGGGATATGTTGGGAATTTCATATCAGGTAACAGAATCATTCTCTTGGGCAAACCATAAGCAGGGGCAGCTGTTCTGTAACCATATGGTGTTCCATAGCCTGGAGCTATGTGGCCAGGAGCTGCTATAGCCCCAACAGAAGCTCCCCTTGTCAGAGTTCCTCTTCCTCTGCCCTGAACTACCTGGAATGCTGCAGACACACCTGTATTCATGACACCCTTTGCCTGAGGAATAATCTTCTTTTTCTTATTATTTGCCACATTGGGTCCAGAAAACAGCTTCTCCAGGGCACCTAAGGCTGCATTTGCCCTGGCCATGGATTATTTGGACCTGCACCTCTGAATTTCTGTCCATCTACTTTTACCTCCATTACAAAGCGCTTGTCATGGTTTCCACCAGTTTCTGAGATGAGTTCATACTTGAGACCTCTTCTTTTTTCATCGAGCTCCATTACAGGATTTTTGCTGCTTGCTGTTAGGGTAGGGCCCTGAGTTCTTACCTCTAAGATACTGGTGGTTTCAGTTATAGAATTTCCAGTGTTATTGCTTGAATTTGAAGACACTGTTTCATTTTTGCTTTATCTGATTTTTCATCAGAACTCATACATTCAATATCTGCATCAGAGCCTGTTGGAGATCCCATTCATTGCCTATAATGCATTTACTGCTACGTGAAGTTTTACTGTTTTCTTGGAAGGTCCTGAGATGTGCTATCCACATCTACAGACATTGTAAAGATGGCAGGGCCAGACTAAGACAGGAAGCCCAGGCCTGATCTGTTTTAGCTTCATTAGTGCATTTATAAGGTCTATTACTTTACTATCCAGGATTTTCCTTAGGTTTTGTTTCATCTTCTTATTAGGATCTTTTCTTCTTGGGCTGGGAGAGGGCACTAGACCACTGAGCCACATCCCCAGCCCTATTTTGTATTTTATTTAGAGACAGGGTCTCACTGAGTTGTTTAGCACCTTGCCATTGCTAAGGCTGGCTTTGAACTCACAATCCTCCTGCCTCAGCCTCCCAAGCCAGGTGAGCCCAGGCTATTTTGGCACCTTTTGATTAAAGATATAAAAGAAAATGTGAAGATTCTGAGTGTTGTTTTCCTTCTTCAGAGAGAACTTAAATTCCCTCTAGCAGAAACATAGAAGTCCAGCAGACCACTTTCACCCTGGTGGTGTTGTAAGCTTCATTAGGTCTGGTTTTCAGTTTGCCTTTTTTTCTTCATATCACTCTGGCTTTCAACTGGTAGCTTGGGCTCCTTCACTTAGGAAGTTGTGAACTCCTGTGTCCACTCAGTACCACAAGACTGCTGATATCCCAGTTCAGCCTCACATCCTCCTTTTAGGCTTTTTTTTTTTTTTTTTTTTTTGGCTTCTCTGACCTTGGCTGTGTAGCTTATGTGCCCGCAAATGCTGTTAAGGGAATAGCACGCAGAAATTTGGGATCAGTACTTGGTAGTTTCCTCTTTTCTGGAGCTTGGCCTATTAAATCCTAGCTGCTTAGCCAAATCCAAATTCCAACATGTGTCTATCTAGTTCACTGAAACTTCCTTAAGTTTCCTTTGCTGAGTGGGCAGTTCCCCAGGGGAAAAAGCAGTGGTGTGTTGAGCAGTTCCCCGCCCCCCTTTTTTTTTGAATTTTGGTACCTTAAGTTATGGCTGCTTCGATTGTTCTCAAGTATTGTTTATTTTGGTTTTGTTGTTGTTGTTGTTGTTGTTGTTGTTGTTTTGGTTTCATGATTTATCCATCATTTGAAGTTGCTTTAGAGTACAAGGTTAGTCTGATATTTCAGTATTGCGTCTCAGGACATTAAGAATAGTTCATCTTTTTTTAAAAAAAATTTTTTGTAGTTGTAGATGGACACAATACTTTTTTATTTACTTATCTTTATGTGATGCTGAGGATCAAACCCAGGGCCTCATACTGAGCTACAGTCCCAGCCCCCGCCCCCCCCCCTTTTTAATGAAGAGTTATTTATTTTGAAGTTTTCCTCTGTCTAGTGGAAGAAATAAAGGCTTTGCTTTTTTCTGTTGTTTTGGCCTCTTGGTCTTTGACTGCCTTCTTTTATTTAAAATTCAGGCTGGTCAGATCTCCAGTAAAGAAGTGCCCCTGACTGGCCACAGACATTCAGTGTTGAACAGAGGTTAACACCCAGATGCACCCCTTACCTTAGCATGATGTTCACATGCTCAGCTGGAACTGGTTAGGAGTCCTCTATTGCATATAGTGGATGGAAGGGACAAAGAGTCACTCAGACGTGCAGAACTTGGCAGGGACCAAGTTGCTTCTTGAATGGACTTCCAGCCAGACCTCTAGTTCAAAGTTGTCTTCATTCCTTCATGGGGACTTTACTTTGTGAGTGTTCAGTGTTTCTGAGTCATTTTCACATCTGATTACTGATATATGATTCACCTATCTTAGGTCAATTATATTATGAGTTGTCCTCTGCTTTGTTAAAATATTGTTGCCATTATTTCTGTATTTGTTTCTTTAAAAATCTTTTATTAGTGGAGTTTGAGGAACGCAGAGTGCCTTTCCTTATCTTAAAATGCAGATAACCATTAAGTACAAATTGCCAGGAGCAACACCTGGCCACAGTACTAAACGGTTTTTAGCTATTTTCATGCTAGCTTTAGTTCTCCAAATTCTGCCAGAAACCCTGCCATATTTTTCAAATTCTCTTAATGGCATGCTGTTTATCCTTGCACTTGTTCCTAAATATTAGAAAAAAAAAATTACTCTTTTTTAGGGAAAACTTGATTCATAACTCCCATTTTTGGCATCTGTACATTGTTGAACATTCAAGGGCACCTTGTGATTTCTCTACTAGTTTCTGTCCCTGTACTGATTACCCTTGTCCTACTTTTTTGTGTGAGTTAGAGCACTTAAGTAGGCATAAGAAACTACTTGAAAATATTATTGGTGTTAAAATTTGTGAACATAAAGCATACTTTAACCTTCCAATGTGTACATGTAATGAAATCTTTGTGGGTATTCTTTTGCTAGAGCAACAAAATAAAGTTGAATTTTATTTTTGTGTTATACCTTCTTATCTTACTGCATTGTTTTGTTTGGAGTCTCTAAATGTTTAAGGACAGTGTTTGACTAAATTCTTGACCAAGTATCTTTTCTTTGCCTCCTCCAGGTTTTGTGGTATTTGCAACAATTGTGGTCATTGTGTCCTTGATATTAATCTTTGTGGTGGGACCTCGCCACGGACAGACAAATATTCTTGTGTACATAACAATCTGCTCTGTGATTGGAGCGTTTTCAGTGTCCTGTGCAAAGGGCTTGGGCATCACCATCAAAGAACTGTTAGCTGGAAAGCCTGTGCTGCGG